AGGTGAATAAGCCGTTTCAGGGAGAGGAGTATTCTCAGGGGAAGAGAGCAGCACGCGTACCATTTCCCATTGATGACTTTGATGCCAGCGTATGTGTTTATGCAGGCACCTCCCTTGATTGCCAAAATACAGGGAAGGTGAATAAGCCGTTTCAGGGAGAGGAGTATTCTCAGGGGAAGAGAGCAGCACGCGTACCATTTCCCATTGATGACTTTGATGCCAGCGTATGTGTTTATGCAGGCACCTCCCTTGATTGCCAAAATACAGGGAAGGTGAATAAGCCGTTTCAGGGAGAGGAGTATTCTCAGGGGAAGAGAGCAGCACGCGTACCATTTCCCATTGATGACTTTGATGCCAGCGTATGTGTTTATGCAGGCACCTCCCTTGATTGCCAAAATACAGGGAAGGTGAATAAGCCGTTTCAGGGAGAGGAGTATTCTCAGGGGAAGAGAGCAGCACGCGTACCATTTCCCATTGATGACTTTGATGCCAGCGTATGTGTTTATGCAGGCACCTCCCTTGATTGCCAAAATACAGGGAAGGTGAATAAGCCGTTTCAGGGAGAGGAGTATTCTCAGGGGAAGAGAGCAGCACGCGTACCATTTCCCATTGATGACTTTGATGCCAGCGTATGTGTTTATGCAGGCACCTCCCTTGATTGCCAAAATACAGGGAAGGTGAATAAGCCGTTTCAGGGAGAGGAGTATTCTCAGGGGAAGAGAGCAGCACGCGTACCATTTCCCATTGATGACTTTGATGCCAGCGTATGTGTTTATGCAGGCACCTCCCTTGATTGCCAAAATACAGGGAAGGTGAATAAGCCGTTTCAGGGAGAGGAGTATTCTCAGGGGAAGAGAGCAGCACGCGTACCATTTCCCATTGATGACTTTGATGCCAGCGTATGTGTTTATGCAGGCACCTCCCTTGATTGCCAAAATACAGGGAAGGTGAATAAGCCGTTTCAGGGAGAGGAGTATTCTCAGGGGAAGAGAGCAGCACGCGTACCATTTCCCATTGATGACTTTGATGCCAGCGTATGTGTTTATGCAGGCACCTCCCTTGATTGCCAAAATACAGGGAAGGTGAATAAGCCGTTTCAGGGAGAGGAGTATTCTCAGGGGAAGAGAGCAGCACGCGTACCATTTCCCATTGATGACTTTGATGCCAGCGTATGTGTTTATGCAGGCACCTCCCTTGATTGCCAAAATACAGGGAAGGTGAATAAGCCGTTTCAGGGAGAGGAGTATTCTCAGGGGAAGAGAGCAGCACGCGTACCATTTCCCATTGATGACTTTGATGCCAGCGTATGTGTTTATGCAGGCACCTCCCTTGATTGCCAAAATACAGGGAAGGTGAATAAGCCGTTTCAGGGAGAGGAGTATTCTCAGGGGAAGAGAGCAGCACGCGTACCATTTCCCATTGTTGACCTTGACGCCAGCGTATGTGTTTATGCAGGCGCCTCCCTTGATTGCCAAAATACAGGGAAGGTGAATAAGCCGTTTCAGGGAGAGGAGTATTCTCAGGGGAAGAGAGCAGCACGCGTACCATTTCCCATTGTTGACCTTGACGCCAGCGTATGTGTTTATGCAGGCGCCTCCCTTGATTGCCAAAATACAGGGAAGGTGAATAAGCCGTTTCAGGGAGAGGAGTATTCTCAGGGGAAGAGAGCAGCACGCGTACCATTTCCCATTGTTGACCTTGACGCCAGCGTATGTGTTTATGCAGGCGCCTCCCTTGATTGCCAAAATACAGGGAAGGTGAATAAGCCGTTTCAGGGAGAGGAGTATTCTCAGGGGAAGAGAGCAGCACGCGTACCATTTCCCATTGTTGACCTTGACGCCAGCGTATGTGTTTATGCAGGCGCCTCCCTTGATTGCCAAAATACAGGGAAGGTGAATAAGCCGTTTCAGGGAGAGGAGTATTCTCAGGGGAAGAGAGCAGCACGCGTACCATTTCCCATTGTTGACCTTGACGCCAGCGTATGTGTTTATGCAGGCGCCTCCCTTGATTGCCAAAATACAGGGAAGGTGAATAAGCCGTTTCAGGGAGAGGAGTATTCTCAGGGGAAGAGAGCAGCACGCGTACCATTTCCCATTGTTGACCTTGACGCCAGCGTATGTGTTTATGCAGGCGCCTCCCTTGATTGCCAAAATACAGGGAAGGTGAATAAGCCGTTTCAGGGAGAGGAGTATTCTCAGGGGAAGAGAGCAGCACGCGTACCATTTCCCATTGTTGACCTTGACGCCAGCGTATGTGTTTATGCAGGCGCCTCCCTTGATTGCCAAAATACAGGGAAGGTGAATAAGCCGTTTCAGGGAGAGGAGTATTCTCAGGGGAAGAGAGCAGCACGCGTACCATTTCCCATTGATGACTTTGATGCCAGCGTATGTGTTTATGCAGGCACCTCCCTTGATTGCCAAAATACAGGGAAGGTGAATAAGCCGTTTCAGGGAGAGGAGTATTCTCAGGGGAAGAGAGCAGCACGCGTACCATTTCCCATTGTTGACCTTGACGCCAGCGTATGTGTTTATGCAGGCGCCTCCCTTGATTGCCAAAATACAGGGAAGGTGAATAAGCCGTTTCAGGGAGAGGAGTATTCTCAGGGGAAGAGAGCAGCACGCGTACCATTTCCCATTGTTGACCTTGACGCCAGCGTATGTGTTTATGCAGGCGCCTCCCTTGATTGCCAAAATACAGGGAAGGTGAATAAGCCGTTTCAGGGAGAGGAGTATTCTCAGGGGAAGAGAGCAGCACGCGTACCATTTCCCATTGTTGACCTTGACGCCAGCGTATGTGTTTATGCAGGCGCCTCCCTTGATTGCCAAAATACAGGGAAGGTGAATAAGCCGTTTCAGGGAGAGGAGTATTCTCAGGGGAAGAGAGCAGCACGCGTACCATTTCCCATTGTTGACCTTGACGCCAGCGTATGTGTTTATGCAGGCGCCTCCCTTGATTGCCAAAATACAGGGAAGGTGAATAAGCCGTTTCAGGGAGAGGAGTATTCTCAGGGGAAGAGAGCAGCACGCGTACCATTTCCCATTGTTGACCTTGACGCCAGCGTATGTGTTTATGCAGGCGCCTCCCTTGATTGCCAAAATACAGGGAAGGTGAATAAGCCGTTTCAGGGAGAGGAGTATTCTCAGGGGAAGAGAGCAGCACGCGTACCATTTCCCATTGTTGACCTTGACGCCAGCGTATGTGTTTATGCAGGCGCCTCCCTTGATTGCCAAAATACAGGGAAGGTGAATAAGCCGTTTCAGGGAGAGGAGTATTCTCAGGGGAAGAGAGCAGCACGCGTACCATTTCCCATTGTTGACCTTGACGCCAGCGTATGTGTTTATGCAGGCGCCTCCCTTGATTGCCAAAATACAGGGAAGGTGAATAAGCCGTTTCAGGGAGAGGAGTATTCTCAGGGGAAGAGAGCAGCACGCGTACCATTTCCCATTGTTGACCTTGACGCCAGCGTATGTGTTTATGCAGGCGCCTCCCTTGATCACGACTCCTGATGTCACGAAATCGAGGTAGTAACATTGGTCCCCGTTGAACACATAGTTGCACTCTGCTGTGTTATCTGCATAGACAGGAGGAGAGGAAAGAGTAGAGGGGAAGGGGAAGGGGCGGAGGGGAAGGGGTGGGACAAGGGGTGGAAGGGAAAGGGGTGTCACGAAACGAAGGTAGTAGCATTGGTCCCCGTTGAACACATAGTTGCACTCCGCTGTGTTATCTGCAAAGGGATAGGTTAAGGCAGAGGGGGAAGCAGGGAGCTCCGAGCTCGTGAGAGAGGCACCTCAGGCATTGAGGTAGTAGCAGTGGTCCCCATTAAAAACATAGTTACACTCTGCTGTGTTATCTGCATAGAAGGAGCAAGAGGGGAGGGGAAAGAGAAAGAAGGGAAGAGAGATGAGAGATGAGGAAAGGGTCGTGTGCCCTGGGGGGCGCAGGTGGCAGTGGTTACCATTGAACACGTTGTTACAACGTTGTTACATCCCGCCGTGTCATCTGTATAGAAGCGCGAAGAGGGGGTTGGGAAGGAGCAGAGGGGAAGGGAACAGGAGCGAGGGGACAGCATGCGGGTCAAAATCACATACCACATGCCACATGCCACATGCCACATGCCACAGGTCACAACACATATACCATTTCTAACCAGTGCCGCACAACTCCCCAGGGCTGAACCAGCCCTTCCCAGGGCTGAATCAGCCCTTCCCAGGGCTGAACCAGCCCTTCCCAGGGCTGAACCAGCCCTTCCCAGGGCTGAATCAGCCCTTCCCAGGGCTGAATCAGCCCTTCCCAGGGCTGAACCAGCCCTTCCCAGGGCTGAACCAGCCCTTCCCAGGGCTGAACCAGCCCTTCCCAGGGCTGAACCAGCCCTTCCCAGGGCTGAACCAGCCCTTCCCAGGGCTGAACCAGCCCTTCCCAGGGCTGAATCAGCCCTTCCCAGGGCTGAACCAGCCCTTCCCAGGGCTGAACCAGCCCTTCCCAGGGCTGAATCAGCCCTTCCCAGGGCTGAATCAGCCCTTCCCAGGGCTGAACCAGCCCTTCCCAGGGCTGAACCAGCCCTTCCCAGGGCTGAACCAGCCCTTCCCAGGGCTGAACCAGCCCTTCCCAGGGCTGAACCAGCCCTTCCCAGGGCTGAATCAGCCCTTCCCAGGGCTGAACCAGCCCTTCCCAGGGCTGAACCAGCCCTTCCCAGGGCTGAACCAGCCCTTCCCAGAGATGAACCAGCCGTTCCCAGAGATGAACCAGCCGTTCCCAGAGATGAACCAGCCCTTCCCAGAGATGAACCAGCCCTTCCCAGAGATGAACCAGCCCTTCCCAGAGCTGAACCAGCCCTTCCCAGAGATGAACCAGCCCTTCCCAGAGATGAACCAGCCCTTCCCAGAGCTGAACCAGCCATTACCAGAGCTGAACCAGCCCTTACCAGAGCTGAACCAGCCAGGCTTCACGACTCCCCAGGGCTGAACCAGTGCACGCAGTAGTGAATCCCCGCTGCGTCCTGATCACCGGATCTCTTCTCTTCTTCCAGAAGTCACCTCGTGGTTGCGGTCGATCCGCATGAGCATGCAGCCATTGCTGGTTCTCGCATACATTACCAACGCTGAACAAGCCATTACCAACACCCTCACCTGGGCTGAACCATCCCTTACCTGAGCCAAACCAAACCCTCACCTGGGCTGAACCAATGAACACAAAAGTAGATACCCGCAGCATCCTGATCCCCGGATCTGTTCCTCCCTGCAGCCACCACGAGGTTGCGGTCGATCTGCGTGAGCATGCAGTCGCCCGCATAGTGCGCGTCGGAGCCGCAGCGGATCCCCGCGAATATGAAGTCGTGCACGTAGTTGTTTCGCACGATGACGCCCACGGCTCCCCTGTGGACGACAATGGGCGTGTTCACGCCTGGTGGGTTGGAAGGAGGGGGAGCAGGGGAGTAGAGAACGGATATGAAGGCGAATATGAAGTCGTGCACGTAGTTGTTTCGCACGATGGCGCCGACACTTCCCCTATGAACCACTATAGGTGTGTTGACGCCTGAAGGGGGAAAGGAGGGGGGGGGGGGGAGGGGGAGGAAGGGGTGAAGGGGAAGGAGGATAAGATGGGATGCCGGCGAAGGGAGTGAAGGGAATGGGGTGCATGTGATAACACTGATGGTGCCTTTATGGAGAGTTTAGTGCATTCACACCTCGACAGTTCCTGCACTGAAACATTGAACATTGAAACGCTATTAGAAGTTCCTGCACACTTCACATGATCGAACACTGAGAGGAGAAAAGAGCATGTGAAGTTGTACTCACCATAAACTTCATTGTTAGTTATAGCGATGAAGGATTTCGCGAGTGTAGGCCCGTGTCCACTGTACGTCACTTGAATCACGCCAGGCGACTGATCGAAGGTCGGAATCCCGGTCACACGCATGGAGTCAACCCGCGATGACGACGTGCGGTGCAGATCAATTCTTCCAAATACACTCCCCTTCGCGATTTGAATTCCGTAAGAACGGATAACAGAAATCGTTGGGCACTGCGCCTTAGAATAGATTTCGGGAACAGTGGTGCACGATGGGGAGGACGAGCGAACGCTCAGCCTGAAATCCACCTTCAATACAAGCACGTTGCTCGTGTTCCATATACGCAGCACCGGCTCGCTCGCTCCCATGTGAGTGATTTGAAACGGGGTTGCGGCGGTCTTCGCGGATCGGAGAATCGTGCACGAGAAAGTGCTGTCAAACAGGATCCCCTTGCTTATAACGAGGTTCCTCTGTAGTTCGAGAATGACCGTTGTAATGGGTGTAAAACTCAATCGTTTGTTGAAATCCGCGAGAGTAGATATATTGATGACGGGCGCTTTTGCGTAGTCGGAGCAGGGACCATCCAGCCACGAATCAGCTGTCGGAATGCAAGAAAGAGAGCAGCAAAGGGACGGAAAAACACAATAGAGTCAAGTACGGTGTATGCGCTTTAGGCAAAGTCTACAAAAGAAGAAAAGGTATTCTTCAGGGTTAATCGGGTGAGAGTGAGCGCAGGGTGGCTTGCCCTACACACGACAACGCAGATTCCGCAGCACTCACCCATCTGCCTGCGCTGCCCCAACGGCCTCTCCTCGCGCGCCACGTGTCCCCTCCATTTCCTCCACCCACTGCTCATCCCAACAGCACGGTCCGACTCCGCTCCCTCCGCATCCGATGTCGCAGCGAGTTCGCCGCCGGTCGACTCCCCCCTCGTCGTCTTGGAAACGTCCCGGGCTTCCCAAGTTGTACGAGCCGAATCTTGAGATTGTTCAAAGAATCCCCACGTGGCATTGCCGCCCGAGTCCTGAGACGCCTCAGAAGTCTCCTCCTGCGTCTCGTTGCCCGAGGCGAACACAGAAGCGGACGGCGACGATTTCGCCGTTAGGTCAGACGATTGCCATTGGTCGAGGAGGCGCCACACAAGCCCGCGGTAATTGAGCACGGCTGTGGAGAAAGAAGGCGGGGGGGAGGACGCGAGGAGGAGACGGGATGGCGAGAGAGAGGAGGCGGGGGAGAGGAGGCGGGGGAGAGGAGGCGGGGGAGAGGAGGCGGGGGCGGGGAGGCGGGGGACGACGAGGTGGGGGAGAGGAGGCGGGGGAGAGCAGGCGGGGGAGAGGAGGCGGGGGCGAGGAGGCGGGGGACGACGAGGTGGGGGAGAGGAGGTGGGGAGAAAGGACCGGAAGAAGGTTGGGTGGGAGGGAAGCGGGAGAGAAAGAACGGGAGGAAGGAAGAAAGGCAGGACTTGCAAACCGTCGAGAGCACACCCTCAAACCGGGAGGAGGAGAGCACACCCGCTAAGAGCACACCCGCTAAGGAGTTTCTATTGCATCGACATACCTGAGGGCGTGAAGGCGAGCGCGCTGGGAGAGAGAGCGAGCGCGACGGAGAGACAGACGAGCAGCGAAAGAGGAACCCTATTATGCGGATGCGCGCCGCGTGCCGCGGCCATCATGGCGAGATACAGCCGACGGTAAAGAGTGGAGCAATCTGGATAGCACGAGTTACGCAGTGGTATTGCAAAAGCGCAGGCGCGGGCTGGAAGCCGCAGGCGACAGCGACACCGTGTCGCGTGATAGCTGATTGGTGAACAACTTTGTCGCGTAACAGCCGTAGATAGCGCAGCTTTGTGGGGAAATGAGCTGTATCAGAGGTTGTGGCTAGAAGCGTCGGCGCGCGATAGTATACTTTGAGACACCTCAAAATCGTCTCGTCGGATGTGTTGGTGTTCGGAAACGATAGCGCGCGTAGAGACTCTACTTGTAGGTTGCGAAGCGTACGTTCGATCTGGAGGGTCTGCTGTAGAGCTGCGTGTTCTAGCAGGTCGCGAAGGTTTGTCAATGCGCGTTGGCCGGCTAATGTGGGAGGAAAGAACTCGAGCCGCCATCTTAAGTCTGTGATTGGATGGAGGAAAATGCGGTCAGGTGATAGGTAAAACCTCAGGTGGCAGTCAGGTTGTTTGTATTCCGTCGGCAGGTGATAGGTGGTACTACCTTATCAGTACGCACTGTGCACTAAAAGCGTGGTTCGCGCTTATGTAAGGTGCAATGTACGGCATCTCAGAGGGTGAGGGCGCGGAGAGGGAGGATAAGGAATGGTGTTCCCCACCCACCCCACCTGTCCCAGAAAACAGCTGGCTGGAGATGCAGAGAGAAGCGCGTCAGTGGCGCCATATCTGTTGACCACACCACACGAAACCTAACCTTGGGTTTGGAGCTCAGCGTGCTACATCTGCTCGTCTTTGAATTGTCACCATACTGAAGCGCACTGAAACTTTCCGCGACGCACAAAACAGTGCATTACTCATTCCGAAATCATCCGAATGTTGCATCGTGCGGGATGTGCTGCAGACTGTATGGCATCGACGAGGAATCGACGAGGAATTCGCTAGACCTCGTGGGCGATGTTGCATCTCCAGGGGAATTGCATATTTGCGACACCAAGCCTCTGTTACCGTTTACATCTTCGCCCAACCAGAAGGAAGTATGAAGACAATTTAGGTGAACTTCACACCCTCTTATACTGTCGTCGGTGCCTTCGGGATTCCAGGAATAATTGTAGGCCGCAACATTGACAGCTAATAACGAGTATTTACCATCGAAAGTGCCACGACCTGTATAGGAATCTGTCGCACAGGGAAATTAGGGCGCGGCGCCCTGGCACGGAACGAACGAACGGCGGAACGGCTCAGATGCACCTAATCTCCCGTCGCTGTTTGCTTCTTCTGCCGTTCTTTCTCACACTACGCCGTAGCATTCTTTCGTAACTCCGTATTAGCTTTCTCGCTCGATTCGGAAGCTCTCCGCGAATTGCGGTCTTGCAACGAGCAACAGATGGATCGCTTGCTTTTGGCGACAAAGTAAAGACGGCGAATTCTCTGCTTGTTCCGGCAAACAGATTGAAGTTTTTGTCCGGACTTTCCAACGCCTCGCCCCTCCAATAGTCAGGTGCGATCTGCAGCAGGTGCGGCCTCCGCCATTCCGAGACTGACGCGGCAGGTGTCGTTTCTATGCGCATATTGCTTTTTCCTGCTGTGTTCCTTTTCACGTCCCCGCCCTCTTTTGTTTCTTTCTGGTGTTGTTTCCTTTCTTCTTATAAGAGAATCTTTTCTGTTTTGTTTTTTAGGCTCGCCCCCGCCCACTGCTTCCTTCGCGTTCACGCCTTCGCCCCCAACTCCCTCCCTGCCCCTTCGCCCCCAAACCCCCTCCCCAGCCTTCGCCCCCACCCCACTTTCCGCCCTTCCCCCTCACCTCCCTCACTGCCCTGCCCCCACCACGCGTCCCCTCCTTCGCCCCCACCGCCCTTTCCGCCCTTCGTCCCCAACTCCCCCTCGCCCCTCCCCCACCGCCCTTCCCACCCTACCTCTCACATGGCCACCCGGGCATCACTCTCTCCTTTGAAACAAGGCTACGGTGCAGCGACTCACGGCACATGGCCACCCGGGCATCACTCTCTCCTTCCTGTGCCTCGCATTCCCCAATCCACTCTCACCCTCTGTTTCCCTAACCTCTGTTTCTCTCACCTTCTGTTTCTCTCACCTTCTGTTTCCCTAACCTCTGTTTCTCTCACCTTCTGTTTCTCTCACCTTCTGTTTCCCTAACCTCTGTTTCTCTCACCTTCTGTTTCTCTCACCTTCTGTTTCCCTAACCTCTGTTTCTCTCACCTTCTGTTTCTCTCACCTTCTGTTTCTCTCACCTTCTGTTTCTCTCACCCTCTGTTTCCCTCCCCCTCTGCTGCTCTCACCCTCTGCTGCTCTCACCCTCTGCTGCTCTCACCCTCTGCTGCTCTCACCCTCTGTTGCTCTCACCCTCTGTTACTCTCACCCTCTGTTACTCTCACCCTCTGTTGCTTCCACTCTCTATTCTCTCACCTCTGTTCTGCTCACCCTCTATTGCTCTCACCCTCTGCTTCTCTCACCCTCTTTTGCTCTCACCCTCTGCTTCTCTCACCCTCTTTTGCTCTCACCTCTGTTGTTCTCACCCTCTGTTGTTATCACCCTCTGTTGTTCTCATCTCACCCTCTGTTCTTCTCACCCTCTTGAGGCTGTACTTATCCCATCTCCCTTCATCGTATGCTGCACCCATTCTTGTATCTGTAGGCACAATCTGGGACCTCGTCTCCTGATCTCAGATGGCGCATCATCCAGCCAGTTGGGATGAGATCAAGGCAGTGATAAATTACCGGCCTGCGCGCACTGCCCGATACGTGGCAGGCTTTGCTGCTGCTCTGGCAGTGATGGCTGCTGGCCGTGCTGTGCTGCTGGAAGCAACGCCTGGGATAGCTGCAAAGGTGCAGGCTAGGAATAGTGCTATAATGGAGGATGTTAACTTCAGATTAGGTAAAAGAACTGACTGACGTGTATGTTTGTATACCATGTTATCTAGGGCCACTTCTTTGCGCTGCTGCAAACACCTGGGCAGCACTGTTCCCATGGTCCACCTTGTTTTCCTTGCTGTTTCCTCACAGCTTTCATCCTGATTTGAAAAATTCTTCCAGTAAACCCTTTTCAGTGTGTTTTAGCCATTCAAATCACAATCCCATTTCAGTGTTATATTTGTGGTGCCTCCGAAAAGGCACTCCAAAAATTGATATAGCCGCTTGATGAAAAACACACACGGTATTCTTTAGTAAAAGGCGAAAGAATAGTTCGCTATGTGTGTGACTCACGGCTGATATCGAATCCATGGCAGCTCGATCTGACTACAGATTTCAGAAACTGTCAGGTAGAGACTGCTTTGTGGGACAGAATTAGAAACTCCTCCCCTCGTACACACTGTTGCTGCATGGCACTGCCAAATCATTCTATAAGTTTACGGTACTAAGTGGTTAGTCGTGTTTTTGTTCGGTTCAGCACGCTCTCGAGCCATTCCCAACTCATAAGCTTGAGTTAGAAGCATTAACAACAACGGTCTAGTTTAGTTTCGCGATAAGAGCGTCGAAGTGCGATACGTGCTCACCGTCGGCGCGCGACGATCTGCGAAAACAAACCTGCGACCCGCATTCTCGTTTCCTTCCTCACGAAATCTCCTTCCAGAGGGCGGTCGATTTCACATTAGAGAGTCGCCTCGCCAAGCGTTTGGCGGCGATGCTTGGCCTATCAAATGGCGAGATTGGACTTCTCGTCTTTCTGGGAATCGTCGCATTCGGAAACTCGTTCCAATCCCATCCCATCCCTTAATCCCAAAAACAACCGGGCAGAATTTCTCCGTGCTCCGTCCCTTCCCATCCCTCCCACGTATTTTCCCTCCACTCTCCTCCCTTCCTTCGCTGCTCCCTTGCTCCTGTGCTTGCAGGATCGCTCCCTCACTCCTCTCCCAGCTTTCTGAGAGAACATCGAATGCGGCCCCTTCCCTGTCTTGTGCCTTATTCCCAGGTTAGACGATCAGCTCCCTCACTTTCTCTCTTCCTCACTCCTGTCCCCTCGACTAGCTGTCCGTAACATCGCATTCAATCCACCCATTCTGTATGCATTTGCTTCTGTTTCCCCACAAGGCCGTATCCTCACCCATCCCCTCCTTTTTAAGACGTCTGGGTTCGATAATTTGTTCCATTTTGAAATAGCCCTCACCGCACTCAACCCCTCTCATTTCCCTTTTCTTGATTTTCCTTTCTGGTTCTCCTGTTTCTCGCGTTGCTGCCCGGTCAGGCCCCAAGGATATCCCCGTGATAGCTCGGGCAGCTGGACGCCTCACGGGACAGGCCATAGGATTCGTTCACACTGCCCGAACAAAATTCAATTCGTTCGCGGACCAGACGCAAACTATCTGAGGTACACCGCTGCAATATTACTCAGAAGCTCACTATTTACAGAACTGTCCCAGGTGTGGCGTTTCCGTCTTGTCTCTTTCTGCACCAAGTGCAGCAGGAAGCTGCTTTTGAGTCGACTCAGAAGTGTGATGTCCTGTCTTTTTCTATGTCCTGTCTTCTCTCCTGCAGAAGCCCCAGCA